TAAAAAAAAAAAAAGTAGGGGTAAAATTTTTTACTATCAAAACTATTCAAAAGCACGGGCTTTCTTTATGTTGGGCCTCATTATTGTTTGAAGCCCAATACAAGTGAACTGGGCTAGAAAATATCAGGCCGCTAAGGTGTGATCTAAGAATGAGTGAAAAAAAAAGAAAGTGTTTTTGCCTGTCAATACGTGTTTAGAATTTTTTGGCAAAAAAACAAATATACAATGTATAATTATATTATACATAAATAGTTCATAAACAATAAACAGTACAATTTATATGCCATGACAAAATAAACCACAAACTAACATTTCATGAACAATAAAAGTTAGTGTATATGTAATAAAAAAAAATCATAAATATATGCAAATATAAAAGAATTTGTAGGTGAACGACGTAATTTGAGGTGACCTTGAACTGATAAACAAGCTTGATCTCGACTCGTTTATTAAAATCAATAAACTAAGCTCAATCTTAACTTAGTCGAATTAAACTAATAAGTTATAAAATTATGTACAATCTCACGATCTGTTTACCGATTTGCTAAACGAGTTTGATCATGTTTATAGAGTTCAGCGAGAGTCGTGCTCACAAGCGGCTCGATTTACATGTAATTAATTAAAAATAATAATGACTAGATTGATATGATGTCTACACAAAAAAAAACATGTGTAGATCAAAAGGCAAGTGATTTGGGTCACATGCGGTTCATATTTGCTGATTATATATATATGTTATTTATTTCTACTTTAATCCTTTGTCGTGTATTGGAAAATCTATATTATCACGGCTCCACAACTTTTACTCTAATTTGATTAAAATGTATTATTTTTATCCTTATTCTTTAATCATAGATTTTTATTTCACTGTTCTATTCTATCAGCTAACTTTAACAAAGATTTTTATTATATCAGCATACAACAAGTTTTTTAGTCATCAATCATAAAGTACAGCTTCAAATTATAGGTCGTTTTGACTTTTTTGGTTCATCCATTTTGCTGTGTATATAGACATATTATTATATAGATACATAGCAAAGTGGACGTACCGAAAAAAGTCAAGCGACTTACAATTTAAAACGGAAGGAATATATACATTAGCTTTTCGGTTAGATTTACCAAACATACATATTATTATGCTATTGATTATTGAGGTATTTTTATATGTGAATATTTTATAAAATATATATGCATTTTGTGAATGCATGGGAGCATCATCACTCATTCCCATGCGAGAATATAATGATTGCTCAGTCCACCAATTTTGGCATTAAAAATGTGGATATTGGTCCCCCATAAGTGGGTGATTTAACTTCAACATTATATCATTGCTTGCACAAACTTCAAATTTGTCCATTAAAAAAAAATAAAAAATAAAAAATAAAAATCATCAATTGAACAAGAAAGGACAAGATATAATATGATGATTAATGTTTAACAGAATTATAGGATTTTGTTTGCTAGTGTTGTTGGATGTGCAAACTCAACATCACATCGAAAGATTAAAAATTCCAAGTCAATATATAAATTTGGTAGACTACTCCTTCTACTAACAATTAGTTTTAGGATGTAACCCAATTTGGGCTTGTATGTTGGGCTTGTATGTTGAGCTTGATGGAGAACTGAGTTTTGAGTTGTTGATCCTACAATTGGTATCAGAGCCACGGTTGGTAACCCAGTTACGATGTGGATGACGTGACATGTTCCCCGTGAAGCCGCAAGGGTCGGTGAATTCGTGTGCCTTGTGTAGAAAGTCTTCCTAGCGAAAGGATGTGGTCTTTGTTCGAGGTGAGGTTTGTTGGGTGTGCAAACTTAATCCCACACAAGAAGCCCGAGTACCCATCGAGGTAGCTGAAATAAGAATGACATGCTAACCTCTCAAGCATCAGATCAATAAAAGGCAAAGGAACAGGATAAATTCGATCCTACCCCATGGAATAGTGCCCCATGGAGTTTTTGGCCACATATTTCACACACACCCATGTGGGGGGTGTGTGATTGTGTGGCTAAAACCCCATGGGATAAGATCGAATCTGCCCCCACATCCGAAGTTTAAAAATTTTCAAATCAATATATATAAACTTGGTGGACTACTCCTTCTACTACCAATTAGTTTTAGAATGGAACCTTATTTGAATTCGATTGAGAACTTAGTTTTGAATTGTTAGATCTATCAAGTGTCGCATACCATTTCATTGGATTTGTAAACTAAGCAATTACATGATGCAAATAAGTGATTATTATAATTAATGGCGCGACTTTTAGTATAATTTTTCTAGTTAAATGGGGAAGTTAGTTGAACAATAAGTATTAGTGTGAGAAAATATATATTATAAGCTTAAAGAGAATATATGGATTATTGATTTGTTACGTGTTTCATTTTTATTTTTATTTTGGTATAGGGAACTTTTGTTTTCCGGATCCACAGGGAAAGCAACTAATCCGGAATCGAATAGAGTAGGGCGTCAAAATTCTCTCTCAAGAGTTTTAACACTACTGTATTCCCATGGCTCGAATACGAGACCACTGGTTAAACTGGAAAAGACCATCTAAGCACTCTTGGGTTACATGTTTCATTTTATGATAATGAGATCTGATCGTTTATGATATCAAAATTTACTATTTATTGAAGTGTCAATTATTGTACAGTAGTGAATGAGAATCAAAATTAAGTGAATGAGAATCAAATTTAGCTTCTTTATTTCACTTATGAGGTTGACTTTGTATGAAATTCTCTATTTTTTGATTGATTGATCACATTAAAGCTCACTTGTTTAAGTGTCCTGCAAAGATTAATTAAATTGCCTAATAAAAATTGTTTTTTTTTTCATGTGATTGAACTTCAGAGCGTAAAGAGTTTGATGGGGAGCCTGTGGATTGTGTTCTGTGGAGAATGTAGGAAACTTTATCGGGAAATTAAAATAAGATGGCTATATTATATAATACCGATGCCTGTGATAACACAGTGTCCTTAAAACAGATTCGCCCCGTATGAGCGTCTGTTTCCCAGGATACAACGGAAAAACTGAAACAAATCCGGCGAACTGGAATTATGCCTAGACCAAAACACTTAAATAGGAATGGGGGAATGGACTTTAACAATTGTTTTCTTTCTTCTCGTGTGTGTTTTCTTCAAAAGATGGCAAGACTCTTTTATAGCTTAGATAAGCCATACTCATTAACTCACTTCATTTAAACTTAATAAATTTGAGTTAAGTGTTCTTGTAACATTAAAGCAAGTTACAAGTTTTAATTTGAAGACAATGTCCTAGTTAAGATTAACACGGTTTCAAACTTCAATTGTTTATGTTACATAAATTTCATTCAAGATTTTTCCAACAATCCTCCACATGAATGAAATTAATACAAAAACATGTTATGGTCCGACAGTTGAAACCTGCATAAGATAGGTAGGTGTTATCCTTTGAACCTTCCCTTGTGAAAGCACATCAACTTTACTAGCTGACCAGTAGACGCGATGTCTTTGAACTGTTCTGCTTTTTGTGTAAGCGATAAATATACTTCACACAGGATTCTCCCTAACATATTCCAGTTCTCATTATTATGTCCATTAATGGCCCTGGACATAGCATGGTTCTGTGAGAGGGTCTAAGAATTGAGCCTCACACAATTCTCTTCAAAGCGGCCCCACTTCTCTCTCACATAGGTGATTCATAATTACAAGTAGCCCGTACTACCTTCCCATACAAGAATCATTAAAAGCCAAATGCTTATCCTACTCACCACGGGTATCACTGTTTAAGGAATGGACATTGGATATAACAGTGATCACAAAAGTCTTTTTACAATTAGGCTGTCCCTTTGAACCAAGATCTTGGGATCTCCAGTCAACAAGGTAGGGTTTCCATTGTATCAACTCATTTCTAGAGGCTTAAGTCCCATTCCTCTCAAAGATTTAGCAACTAACTCTCTATTTAACTCTTTGGTTAGCGGATCCGCAAATTATCTTTTGACTTCACATAGTCAATAGATATAGTACCAGTTGAGAGTAGTTGTCTAATGGTATTATGTCTTCGACGAATATGTCTAGACTTACCATTATACATATTACTTTGTGCCCTGCCTATAGTCGATTGACTGTCACAATGTATACAAATGGCTGGCACTGACTTTGACCATCTTGGAATATCTTCTAAGAAATGGCGAAGCCACTCTGCCTCTTCTCCACTTTTGTCCAATGCTATAAATTCGGACTCCATTGTGGATCTGGCAATAACAGTCTGCTTAGAAGATTTCCATGATAAAATTCTCATATGTCCCTTTCTTTATTACAACCTTCTTTTTTGATATCAAAGACCAGTTGGCTGCACCTCCCAAAGTGAATACATATCCACTAGTGGATTTAGAATCTTACATATCCGATATCCAGTTGGCATCACTATAGCCTTCAATTACAGCTGGATATTTACAATAGTGCAGACCATATTTACAAGTATATCTCAAGTATCTGAGTAATCTCACAAT